TCATAGCCGTTTGAATCTCCAGTCCGCATGCACGTGAAATATATAAGATTGCACCACCAATGATGTAGACGCCCGTGTAGATGTTAGTCGCTGTACAAAACATACGCTAATTTTAAGCATTCGATTGAGTGCCTCTACAACAGAACCATAAACTTTTCTGTGATGGCGCTAAAATAACTCTGCGCTGAAAAACATACTACATATGTATATCACAGAAGTTAGCGGCTCTGTACGCGTAAGCGAAATAGCTAAAGACACTCCACACTCTCTAATAAGTCTATTATTAAAAAAAAAGTTCCCAACATCCACACAGACTCGAGTGATTTCGCAACTAAAAACGAGAGTAACCTACATTAAAAATAATCTGTGTATTATTTTTTTATTTCTATAATTTGTCTTATACTAACAGAGTGAAACCATCTACAGAACTACACACAGCATACACAGTATGTACAATTGGAACTATATACACTCGTAACATGGCAAAGGTTTTAAAGGAGCGTCACTTCGCCATATTGAAAACACGCATGAGCATTTCACTCTTCAAACATCAATTATGAAAAAATAAAACTTATTTCCTTCGTTTAGGTACTATGATTCTCTTGGATTTTACATTTATCCTACACGTGACAAAAATGCAAAGAGAAGAGAAGCGTGAAATTATATCCATCTCTTTCCTTCGCATAGATCCATATATATGAATAACAACAACGGCAATATAAGGCAAATTCTGATGCATGCTCGCTACACACTGTGACCTGGCAGACTCTGGTAACTAACGATTCTTATTGTCCAAAAAGTGAAGGGTTTGTACCCGATTGTTAGCTACACATTTAATCATACAGGTCAGATATTTTTAAATATTGAAAAATATTTTTTTAATAGGTATAGAATTTTATTGTGCGTTTTTGTCACAGTACACTAGAATGAACTACGTTCAAAACTATAAGTTTACATGAACAATCATTTTATTTCAACAGCTTATTCAAGGCCCGTGGAGGTGTAACTGCGACCAAAGATTTCATCCGTTGTGGCCACCGCTAAGTACATACATACTGGAACCAAGTCCAACAGAAGTAATAAACTTTAGGATTAATTTAGCTCCCATTTTTCGTTTGGGGTAGATCTGCCCAGGACAGAGTTTCGTATGTCCACTACAAGACTTCATGGCAGAATAGTTTACTAGAACATGTGATTATTTAATCCACGACGTCCTGCAAAAGCCCTGCTCAGCATTTGGATGCTATTCCTGTCCAATGCCAGACCTCTACAGCGTTCGATCCGAGGGCCTTTGAGTGTTCAAGGTCTAGGTGTTCTATGTTGATCTCGCACTGATTGGTGCTACCCTACTACTAGACGTTAACCAGGGCATTACTTTTAATTACACTTCATAAAAACCACCAAATACTGAGATGGTGTAAAGCGTATCCGAAGTTAAATAATAAGTGTTAATAAACTGATTGCTCACGTCATAAACTAGGTAAAGTACTTCGCTTTGAAATCTATTCAATTAATTATAATGGTACAATAAGTAGTAGGGCACGGTATACATATAGATAACACCTAGAAAAAGCGAGACAACAGCGTTTTTTTCAGTTTATACAACATATACTTCCTACCGCTTTAATGATTTCAATGCAAGATGACTCTCAAAGGTCTTGAATAATCCCTAAACGAAAGTGGGAAATCTTGCTTATCCAGACTTCGTAGACCTCAGACTTACAAATTTCTTCATATTAAAACTGTACAAAAAAGCGCTGTTTCGAACCGCCTTGTCCGTGTGATCTCTAAGTTTGCCTTTACCCAGCCTGAAGCGTGATTCTAATTCATCTGATATGTAGGAGTGACATGATGACTGTGTGAAGCCACTTACGTCATAAAACACGCAATTTACTGAAAATAGCACTTTGCTGTATCTACCGTCTTAACTATACACCATGTCACAAAAATATTATTATTTTACACAGATGTATATTCATATACTCATCATAAATATATTCATTTGTACATGACGTGTGTGATTTTTTTAATTATTATTATTTTTTAAACTATTTACAAATGAACAACGTTCAAATCTCCCACTTCTGTACAGGACACAATCGTTTTATATCTACTTTAGTGAATTAAAAGTATTCAGGGCTGTAAAACCTAATAAAAAATAATAACTAAGTACTAAAAATGTGGTTTATGAAAACTAAACTAGTGTTTCTATTAACAATATTATTAAAAATGACACTAAGCGAGTTTCGGCTTTCGAGACACATCATGAGTTAATGGCCGATAAACATCGGTATCTTAAACGGTACCATCTCAAGGGTTCATGGCCTTGCACTTGACAGAGTTACACTTAATAACGATCTTGAATCGCTGTTTAAATAATCTTTAGATCCTCCAAGATCTAACGTCTTAAGACCGGCATTCAACGTTTATTACTTTTCATATATACTGTCCCTGTCTATTTGAAAATTACAAAACAAATGGGTAACTGACTGTTTAAAGATTGTGTTAACTGGATATGACTTCCCATATAAAGTATGTTCTCGGTCATAAAGTATATGAAAAGTGTATTATAAATAATTTTCGATAATCTTGAAATGGAAAAGTTACACACTTTATTCAGTTCTGGAAAGTTCTACATTGTTATAAGATTATGCCTTTGTTACCCCAGATGAGCAATATAAAAATGAATATTTGTTTGTATATCTGTTATGTATGCATTCCATAATTATTAATCCGCTTGCGCTATGAAACTTTCGTGAAAACCATGGGCCCAACAACGAAAAGTTTCATTTCGTTGTTGTGTCCATGCCTAGTTTCTAAAGTGTCAGGTGAAGCAGTTGTTTTAACAAATGTGTCTACAGCCGAAAAGGTGGTTCTTTTGCAGGGCAATGCCAATGAAAAAAAAATTGTTTTTTTTTTCAGTGGCATTGCACCGCCGGGCTCGAGTAAGTTCTCTTATAAAATAGAAGCGGTCAAGTGAATAAAGAGCCAAAGAACCATCTTTAAAAAATTATTCAATTGTGATTTACAGTACCAAGTTTAGTTTCCAAAACGCCACAAACTAACATAAATTGAAGAGAATATTCAATACATTAGTGAGGCGAATAAAGACACAGTAAAAAAGAGTTTGTTCTAAAACGTTATTTTGATTTAAAAAAAAAAATTAAATTGACATAGGTGAGAAACGTTTGCGCGGGAATAAAAAATATTACAGGATATTATTTAGGAACAGATTTTTCTAAGTCCCATGCAACATAAATTACCTGGAATGAAACTAGGAAATCCCCTGTAGATAACGAATTTAACATCGGGCACACTATTCAGAACATTACATAGAATTTAAATAAGTTAGTTTCCCAGATTAATCTTACTACTCACCTAGCGACCACAGGCCACTGCGGTCTTCATAATGGCGTTGTTATATCAAAAACAAATTCTAAATATTATTTATAGTTTAACAAATGCATAACGGTTATTTATTATACACTAGAAAAATAACAGTGACTCCGACGTTCTTTATTCGCTCTCTATATGCCGTGTGAATGAAACCGTGTTTTATAATAATAACGTACAACGCGAGATTATTTAATTATTTATCTATCCATTTGGTATGTAAATACTGTCCTGAATGTTAAATATAAAATAACCAGTTGTACTCTACATTTTACTACGATGTCACAAAAATGAAACTTGGGAACGCTATTTGCGGAGGTTATCGTCTACTTATGCTGGCATTAAATATTACAAATGCAATCAAAATGTAGAGGAAATACGATTTAAATTACTTTGAAGAAGCGTTATTATAGAGTTATTCAAAGAATGACATTGTTGACATATTTACTAGCTAACAGTTCCGTTTATTCCGTCTGTTTTTCAGTTGATTATCGTGAAAATAATAAAGCTATCCACTGCATATTACCCACTATTCTAACCTAAGTTACACTAAAAATAATCTAGGATTATCCCTGACAGTTCATTAAAATCTACACAATATAACCTTGTAACGACGTGCACTAATTTACGTATTTCATAAACAATTTTATGAATCTCACTTTTAAATGAACAGTCTTTGTTTAAATAAATATATTACATTAAAGTAAAAATACCACCAAATCAATGTTAATTTGTTCAATCACACCACCAAATCAATGTTTGTATTCATTATTTTTTCCGTCATCGTGCAAAGGTTACACTGAACTTACTAGATATGAGGTATATCGATAAAAAGTTTTCGATAATTTAATAAATAAACGTATTGTGTGTTCATTCTTAAAGTATGAATTTTAATCATTGGCAACGAATTAGCACATCGGTATTATTTTATTACTATTTTTACCTATAAATTAATGATATGATAAATGTTTTTTGAAATTTTCTAAAATATCTATTGGAATTATCAATTCAATTATAAAAATCGACTTTACCTCGTCCCAATGCCAAACGTCAAATTAAGTGTCACAGGGATCATCCTAGATTGCGTTTAGTATAATAGCAAAATATATTATAATGAATTTGTATACGTTGTAAATATTTAATGTCCTTATTATACTGTTAAAAAGACCCATAATCGTATTGATAATTAAACTTAAGTTTAAGAATACTGTATCAAGTTTGTTAAGCGCAAATATTGTCTATAATTTTTCTGACATCGTTGTAAATACTGTAATACATCTTTACTAAGGCCCGTATTAATAAATACTCTGATACGACCGTGACGTCACTTATACTTAGTCCAACCATTTATTTTACTGTTGACATCTCGAATTCTAATCCATTAGTGATATCCTAATATGTTTCCGATTCGATTTTATTCATGCAGAAGTGAATGTGAGCGGGTATAAAAAAGAAGATATTGTCTGATCGGTATTGTATAATTAACAATATAATTAATGTTTCCGAGGATTCAAGTGATAATTCCCGTTCATATGGAGAAAAATCCGACGATTCATTATAATAAACGAAAAGAATTTATTATAATTATTTATAGTTTATTTAATTTCTTTATCATTTATTAGACAGGTGCCATGATTATAATCTTCGTTACATAATCTGTCGGCTCGATAAATATCGGAGCTAAAGAGCAGTCAGTTTCGATTAATGATGTCAGTTAATATTTGTCAAAACGTCAACGTTTCGGTAGCAACAAGGTATTTATTTTTAGATGAATCCTAGTGGCCGCCATTAAGGAAATAGAATAGAATAGCTAAAGAGCACGTCGCTTCACTATAGTAAAGAAAAATAAACACCCATGAAATATTGCATTTTTTTGTCCATTTGCCTGTCAATATTTATGAAACTGGTAGGTGAGCTTATGTCAAAAGTAAAATAAATGTACAGAAGAGTACAGATGCACAACTATGGGCATCTTGGATGCCATATCAAGAGCCCAAGTCTGCACTTTGGCTAGTATCGCATTATGCCTTAAAACCGTAGCACCGTTAGGATGCATAAAGGAGCTTCCCCGTACGACGTAACATTTCTTTCCCATACGTCGGTGCACTCAGGGCAACTATTAGAAAACAATTATAGTGTAAGCCATCGATACGATAGCATGCATTATAATTGTTACGACTGTCGCTCAAGTGCTGAGTGAGATTTATTAATAAGCGGAAAATTTGACAGTCACTCAAGTGACAAGTACGATCTGAATATTAATCGTGTACTTGAATGTATTAATACGGGCCTTGATATTGTATACCAAAAATTGTTTAAAGGTTCAATATCTCGTTTGTAAACGAAAGAACAACAACTTTCACAATGTTCTTTGTTTTCCGGTTCATTATGTTCGCGTTATTTTGTTTTTAGGTGCGTTTTAAATATGCAACAACAAATACAACGTTATAATTGTTACTAATCAAATTGCGTAAAATCTGCGATTTGAAATCGCACACTAATTGGTCTGTTTTTGTTTAGAGCTCTATTTCCCCGGTCAACAGTTTTCGTAATACTAAACATAAATCTAATTATTCAACATTTAGAACGTAAGCTACAATGGAATTTATATGACATTCTAAAATGGATATTGTGTACAGCTTTCTCTCGATTGCACTAAGTTGTTCTGGTTTCCAGATACAGATTATAGCACTGTCCTGCCACTATGTACAGAGCCAGTTGCGTGAATTATGCTCTATTGTATCTATAACCTAAATTTTAAATATGTACTATCGATGAAATTTTAAATAAAAACTAATACAATAAAAATCTAATTTATTCCCGTCTGTTTTGCGTTAAAATTGGTCATTGTGAGACCGAATAAAAGAGAGGGGTGTGTTTAAACAACCAATAGGATTACGTTGTACACATCTCACTATTTAGGCGCTGCGCAAACAAGTGTCTTGTGTTACAATTCATTGTACTGCCAACAACAAATCAATTAATTAATTCAATGAATCGATTCGATTGAATGAAATAGTTGGAATAACTGGGTTTTATATAACAAAATGCGTGCATCAATTCCGCTGCTGATTAATATAAAAAATATGTGATTCAATACTAAGGGATGATATTTCATACATAAGATTGTTTTTCTTACATTACCTATAAAAGCAAATTTAAAGTTCTCCTAACATTTTAAATCCTTCTTCAAATCCTTACACTTGGATATTCGTTCACTGTGATTAAATTTTCAATTCGCAACACGATTACAAAAACTTTAATTGAATTTACCAAATGAGTTATTTCCGTACAGCCCTATGCAACCACAGACTATTCACAACCAAATTGCTGGAAAAAGTGTTTAGATATCAAGTCGAAATCTTAAAAATATACGTGAGTGTTACTTATTACTTTACTAGTATAATGGATTAGAACGGACTTTAGAAATGAACATTCTATTTTCATACAAAAAACCGGATACAGTCGCCAGTTGCCGGTTGCTTGCATCTAACACAAGACACGTTTGCGCGGCGCCTTAGTGTTAATAATAACATGCCACTGGTTATTTAAAGACACCGTCTTGACCATTGTCAATTGGCCAAGTCGTCCGAAGTAAAGACGAATGCACAAAACACAAGTACAATGGGATGTTACTCATAAAAAGGAAGTCTCTCAATTAGACCTGATTAAGACGTGGTTATTCGCGTTCAATCTACACCATGTACACGAATATTTGACAAAGCTCTCTGCCACTCCTCTTAGATATATCCCGCGTCAAGGGCGAGTTTGCCGTCGCGGCACGACATCAAGACTACTCTACCCAAAACTAACATGTACTCCCTCACGACTTACTGTTATACACTACGGAACAAATGCGCCGCTTTAGGGCGTACTTCGTTTCACATTTTTAATAAAGAATGTGCTGTAAATGTTGCTAGAAGCGTGAAAATATTTTTGAAATATGATTACTAACGCGGTTTGGCAAATTGGTGTTATACATATTCGCGTCATGCACCCAGTGAAAAAAATTGTAACCGCACAATCACATCGTTTTAATGTTACGTGATATGCGGTAGCGAATCTGGCCAATCACATGGTTTTAATGCCGGCGAAACGACAATTGAAACTACTATAATAAAGCAAACCAGTGATTATTAGTTTTAGCCTCATTTAGAGGTAAGCTGGAGAAATTGGTTACGCCTCGTACGTTCCGTTTTCTACAATATCTTTAAGCCGCATTTTCAAATTCTCACGATTCAAATGTAACGTTCTCATGGACAACAGGGGGTTCACTGGTGAAAGCGTAACATAGCGAACCATTTCCTATCTTACCGTGCGGCGGTGTAGCCGCAGAATTTAGAGTGCATTTCGGGTAGGTCGCGACAAGAGGCTAGACCGTTTGCCACCGTACTCAATTGGCAAACCTTGCAATTCATATTTGGTACGACAAACGGTACCCGCAGCAACAAAGCGACGGAAACGAAGAGTAGCCCTTTCGGGAACAGACGAGCGATTCGCGAATCGGTTACTTCTCGACCGCCGTCGCTTCGCGAGGAGCGAGCGCTCAGAGCTTCCTCGGGCGCGTGAGGCGGCGCTTCTTGCGCTCGGGCGTGGCGCCGTCGCCCGACGACGAGGCGCGCCGGCGCAGCGGCGGCGTGGCCTGCGGCTCCTCGCCGCCCGACTCGGCCCGCGCCGGCTCCTTGGCCGCCAGCGGCATCTGCGGACGGCGGCCCGGTTACGTGTCGTTTGTGACATTCGCGTGTTCTTATGGCAATACTCTATTTGGAAATTAAATTGTTTTTTTCGGATCCAAACGAACGAAAAAGAAATATACGCGGTTCAGACCAGAAAAAAAATGTGAAAATTCTTATGTTTTTGTTATGATACCAAGTGACGGATGGAGCAAGTCGTGCGCCTGGTGGCAAGCGACGCGCCTGTCCATAACAGCTGCAGTGTTACTCAAAGCTTTAAATTGCAAAAAATTTAGGGGCACTGCCACTGCGCTCGTCACCCTGAGGCATAAACTGACAAGTCCTTAATATGCCCGTAATTCCATCTTTAACCTTTACTCTTCACACAGTGTAAGTAGTGTATGTGTAACAATAGCGAAAACCTAACAATTCAACATTCTGTAGGACTGTAAAAGCCAACAATTGCCAAAAACTCAAAACGCAATATTAGTTTGAGTAAACTGAAAATTAATCCGTGTATAAACCTTTTCATTGTCACAAAAAAAACCTCTTGTGCGCTTTTTTATTTACCAGTGTCCCAAAGATGCTGGTTTTCGTGCGGTGTATCGCGCTACTGCTAGGCTGGGAGGGAGAACTAACCGGCGGCAGCACGGCGGCGGGCTGCAGCAGCGGCGTGTCGCCGGCGCCGGCGGGCCCCGCGCCGCTGCCGCTGGCCGTGGCGCTGGCGTCGCTCAGCTCCGCGCCCACCTCCGCCGCCCACTGCAACACGCCGATCGCTTCGCGTGAGCGCTAGCCACATCACCGGCAAATGGACCACGACTCAAATACTTCCCGGTCAATTTTCAATTCAACTTTCACCTATTTAAATCAGGTTTCAGAAATAGTTACGTAATTACTTTTTAGTTTATAAACGCGGCGCACATACTCATACAGTTTTAGGGTCCACTGAAAATCAGCATCGTAGCCTTTTCTCGGCGGTGACATTAGCTGAGTGGATTTTTTCAACATGACATCTACATAGTACACAATAGTCTTGACTATTTAATGTTTGCCGTGTTGTTATGATTTTATTTCTATTTCATTTTATATGCATTTTATTTTAACTTTTCGTTTTAATTTAGCTTTATCATTTTTTATCTTTCTTACTGAGTATTTTTGTGTTGTGGCATAGTAATAAATTTCTATTCTATCCTCTTCGATACTTGACACGACAGGACACGATAATCAACTTAATAAGTATAGTATACTATAGCAATTATCTCGATATTTATAAAATTAATTGGAACAACAAAATGATAGTGTTAGCAATGTCGTGACATGTGTTAAATGTCAATCTCAAAAAATATCACAAACCAAATTTGCCTTCCCAAAGTTTATTCTTTGTGTATATTGAGTTTTCTCTCTGTTTTGCCATTTATAGATAACTATCAAAGAAAATTACCTTACCTTGAAAATGTTGAACCCTGCTTAAAATACAACCCAATGATTATGAAACACTCCTCATAGATAGATAGTAACGATAAAAATAATTGTTATAGTCCATACAACTATTTATTATACATTTGACAGCCTGACTACTAATCAATTAGTGATGTCCTAACGCGTTACCGATTCGGTTTCCTAAAACAATCGATTTTATTTATAAAGAATTTTAATTTTAATTCACAATTAATTCGTCAAACTAGGATAGTTTTTATAGTAAAAAGTTTTAATCGATTTAACACATTGATATTTTCAACATTATATTAAGTATTCATCATAATTCATTAGATGGGTACCAAGACCTATACAAAAAAGAAATCAACTTGAATAATTTTGTTTACATTAATTGTCGGTTTGATAAATACCGGAATCGGAGCTAAAAAGTACGTCGCTTCACTACAGTAAAGAAAAAAAAAAGAGTCCATGAAATATTGCATTTTTCTGTCCATGGTTGCTTGTCAATAATTAAGGAACTTCATAGTCACGCTTATGTCAAAATTATAATAACGGTTTGACGGAGTATTTTGTTTTCTTTGACCTCCATCTCACCTGATGGAAAGTGACAATGGAGCATGCAAACTTAAATAATGCCCACCCCCTATCGCCTTGAAAAGGTCCAAGTTATAACCTTCAGGGAACAAATCTGCAGGCAGGGAATCCCGCTCCATAGCCGATCACCATATAAATGTGGAGAAGCGTAACGCTTCGTGAGAATCTTTGGAATATCCACACGGGCCTAGATCCCCGGTGACGGAAAGGCGGAATTAAATCGTGTAACAAGCAGGCGACTTAACGGCGGTGTTCAATCCCTTTAAACCAGTTTTGAGTACCATAGCATAGCCTCGCGATCGGCCACGACCTCACCTGGCGTCAAGCGACGGCCGACGGCCGACGGCTGCGAAACGAGCACCCTTGAAGGCATACCTGCGCGGCGGCGGCCAGCGCCGACGAGCGCAGCGCGGCGCCGCACTCGGCGCACAGCGGCGGCACGGCGGGCGAGCGGCTGCGCCAGTACTGCAGCTCCGTCTTGCACTTGTTCAGCTCCTGCGGCACCCAAGCCTCGGTTAGCCCCCCCGCACGTGGGTCATTTCTAACCGCCTTCTCAATCCGAGTGTACAACTCCGGAAAGTGGTGAAGGAAGCATAAGTGTGCTTACAATTCCACTAGTCGCTTTCATAAATGAAATGCAAAGAAATTGCAAATGACACATAGGTAAATCTGTTCCGCCGTCCAGAGAAAAAATAATTTTTTGAGGTATCGTAAAAAACCATAACCCAGTTTGGAATATTGTAATTGTTTAATAATATTTCAGCTATGCATCGTTACTGATTAATTTTAACTATTTTTAAAAGAGAATTTATATATTTGACCATTTGTCACTTAGCCACGTTTTACTTAGTGGACGGCAGTATTCCTTTTTTATAATTTCAGAATCCAATAGACTCTCATAAGAATATTTCTTCAAAATCCAAATGAAAAACCTAATTATGAGTATGTCATGTCTAACATTTGGTGCTGCTATGTAGTCTGCTAAGTCCACACTTACATAAAACTTGTCTAAATATTTAAGCATAAAACAGTAAGCGGATTTTTCATCACTTAGCAGTACACGGACAAACTCTCTTTTTGAATAAAATAATGTAAATATTTAAGTATGCACTTATACATACAAAATGCATTTATGTATTTTACCAAATGTGCAATAAATTCATTTTAGGCCAATATATACAATTTCCAGTATACCAGATTATAAAAAATAGGAGCTTAAATACAAAAGGTTCATTGTAACTTTAATATTTGAATTGGTAACAACATATCGTCTAACGTTCAAAAAAATATCAGCCCTATTCAAAACGAAAGAGAATGCACTATAAAGCAGTCGTCGAACCTGTAGTAGAGTTTGAAACTTGCGGCTTGTCTCTTCGTTCTTCTTATCATAATCGTCGAGACGGTTGGCATATTCCAAAGTCTGTTTTTGTTGCTCCGCAATCTGCTTCTGCTGTTCCGCGATCTGTTTTTGCTGCAATGCAGTCTTGCGCTTGCAGCTGCGCAGATCGCTGCGCAACGCCGACAACTGATCGTTGTATCTGCAATACAGCAATGCTTTACTAAGCAAATACAAAATAATCATCATAACTGTAGACTGTCTACACAACCTACAAAGAAAAAAAAAACAAAAACATTTCGATGGTTTTCTAGAATAGTAGCTTAACATAAAATCAACTAAATCATCAGAAATATGATTTAAAAACAACGGCAGATTATCTAAAATGCAAAGCAGACGAATTGTATAAAGGCGCATGTCCTCACTCGATCATTTTAAACTATAATAATTGAGATCGGTTACCGGAAAGTGCGCAGAACCGGATTCATCCACTAGTTTGCCACTCTTAGGGTCGTATTCCAGAACTCTACTCAATGCTCAAGTCAGGACTTGAGTATTGCAGTGAGCACTGAAAATCATACTCAAGTCCTTGCCATTAGGGTCGTATTTCCAGTGCTTGAAATCATACTCAAGTCTGCTCAAATCCTGACTTGAGCATTGAGTAGAGTTCTGGAATACGACCCTTAGAGGTGAAATATTTTCTTGAAATTTAAATGGGACCACTAATGAGGTGCCCTCTTTCCAACAAAAAAAAGAATCATCAAAATCGGTTCACAAATGCCGTTATTGAGAATCTCCTCCGTTTTTTGAAGTCAGTTAAAAAGAGCGGAGTCTTTTAATACAATTTAGCTAATTCTGAGTGCACCTTATTAAGACAAAAATGAATAATTTTGGTTCAGGCCTCTATTCCGAAAAGCAGTGATTTATTTGAATATCGCAGATTACATCAAGCGGTTCTGCTAGATGAGACACGTATCATTCGCCGATTCTTGAACCTGAGACAGTGACTACGGTCGACTATGCCATGGATGATTGCCGGGGAATATCGCCTTTCCCATTCGCAAATTCAAATTTATCTTTAAGGCCAGAAGAACGCAAGAATAAGAACAGAACATAAAATTTTAAATAATAAATCGATTAATATCTATTTTCCATCAAATTTGCATAACATTCCTGACAAAGGCGGACAATATATTGTCATTCGCCGCTGTATCGTACAACTCGTTGCAATCTGTTACCAGTTTCTTGGTATTATGGTACAAATCGATAAAACATACAACAATAAGTAAATTCTACTGTAAAATATTTATAAAAATATAAAAATATTTATAAAATATAAAAAAATATTTTCTACTGTTAGGTTAGGTTACTTATAATTATCTATAATGCACTTCTGGATAGATTTGAGCCACTTTGCATTTTCATTATTAGAAGTCCTAAGCTTTTAAAGTTTGATTGACCAAAAAATATTATGAATTTTTGAAACTGGTATAGTTAATGTCATTTCCATAAGTCCTTGTTAAAAATTTGAATTTGTAAAACCAGAGAAAACTTATCGAGTTCTTAGGTTTTCGCGATTGTTACACATAGAAAATGATACTATTTTTTCCGAATTTAAATCGCGTATATTTGTTGTTTCAAACAAACCAACGTTACGGATCCCTTACAGGTCCCATGGTCACGGTTGACTGTTTTGTATAAAAACAAATATACGCGATTTAAATCCGGAAAAACAGTTTCATTTCCAGAGGAAATTTATTCTTCAATGAAATAAGAATGCAAGGTGGCTCGAATTATGTGTCCGGGAGTGTATAATAAATCCCTTAAAGATAGAAATACCTTAGCAAAAAACAGAAAGTAACAACACAAGTCTTAGACCCATAAACAACTCAATGTCCAGGGGGTTGTTTAAGGGTTTCTACTCGACAAAACGAAAAGACAGTGTTAAGTACGAAGCTTCATTTGCATCATGCGTATTTGAATTTAGTCAAGTATTTTTTTTATACCGTCAAGTAATGGGACGACAAGTCATGCGCCTGATGGTAAGCTACACGCCTGTCCATAACAGTTGCAGTGCCACTCAGAGATTTAAATTGCAAAGATCTGAGGGGCACTGCCACTGCGCCCGAGACCCTGAGACATAAGTTGACAAGTCCCATGTGCCTGCAATTTCACCAGTACCTTTACCCTTCAAAACTGTAACACAGTAATGCTGACATTACTGCTTGGCGGCAGAAATAGGTAGGTGGCAGAACTTACCTGGACGAACTCTTTCACAAGGAGCTCCACTGCTACTCAATTATATATCTACTGCTACTAATTTAAACAGGCCTTACTTCTTCATGCCCTGTTTAATGCGATGTATCCGTTTGCGCAGCACCATGTTGCTCTGTGGCGGCGGCGGCGAAGGCGGGAGGGACTCCTCCATGTACGAGTACGAGTTGTTGACACCGCGGTCCGCCGTCGCCGGCGCAGCCGCGGACGACGACTCGAAGCCCGACGGCGGAGGGGAGTCTAGACAGTTATAGGACTTACTGCTTTCTCCCGCTGTAACGTGGCAAAATGGTTTCCATATCAAAATAGACAAGTGTTAACAACACTTGTAATAGTACTGTTCCAGTCTATACACAATACACAATTACCATCAACTGTCAAGATATTTTTGGTTTTAATTGTAATTGACAAAGTTTATATGCCAAAACCAATAATGGTTATTTTTAACTCTATAGTAATCGGGTGTTTCCCCAATGATAGCAAAAATTCTTATTTTTCACAAGGCTTGTGCTTGCCTAAGTGAAATGTTTTGAGTATAACATAATTACTAACCTAAAAGTAGTTTCTCGAAAAAGTAACCAATTCAAATTTAATATTGCATAACAACAATAACACAATAATCGCTATGTAACAAGTATTCCTGCAACTTTCTAACTTTTATTTATCAACTGACAAAAATATCAGGCGCCATTTTGCATTACATTTCCCTCCAAATCGGTAGAAAATTTTGCAATTAATTAATGCATATAAATGCATTAACGCATTAAACTGATTGCTAGTCTCCTGAACTTTTACTTAATAAGAGATAACTAGAGATAAATCAAACTGTAACAGCGCCCAAAATAAATTTGATGAAACATTTTTCAGTTTCGTGAAATTACTGAAGAACAAAAATGTCAACAATACGTTTCACTGCTGGGCACTGGTCTCCTCAAAGGAAAGAGATACAGACCATAGTTGCCATGCTGGCCCAATGCGAGTTGGCGACTAAACATGTTTTCAAGTAGTTGTAAACCTTCCCCGATTTCCAGATTTCGTCGCGATCTTTTCCTTCACTGCTAGCAAAAGATATTGCCACTAAGCATTTACAAATATACGGAAACATGGATTCGAATCATAGTCTATAAAGTTTTAGGCGCAGGCCATATCAGCAAAATTTGCTTACCTAACGTAGCCGGGTATCTTTTCACACTGCGAACTAAGCTAACCAAACGACGTGAGGTAAGTTAGCTACCTTCATTCGCGATGTGGCCTGCGCTTCAGGTACAAGCCGCAACAGGGTTTCGAGCCGTCGAATTCTCAATTGAAAGTGTTTTTCATTACTATTCTCAAACTGGGCTAGCACAGCACTTAAGAATTTGTCACATTTCAATAATCCAATATTTGCAAATACGTAACGTTTTCAAAAGAATTATTTTCTACTGTAAGCCTGTGATTAGACAGAAAATATAGTCATGGTTCAGATCTGGCCCCCGATTCAGAACTCTTCGATATTTTAACCGAAATTCGATTGAATGTCGTTTTTTTCTGAGAACGTTCGATTTGGATACGATATCGTTATCCTACAGCGTTTACGGAGTTAGTCGGTGAAATAGATCATAAGAAAAATTAAATATATATAATCATATTTTAAGGTTATGTCCTTGAATTCTAGACGTAGGCTACAGGATATTCTACATTTATTCCACATTCTGTCTCATATTAATTTTAACAACAAGTGCAATCCACGACGCCTTCCTAGACCATTCGTATTGAATGTTTATACTAATAATACGTCTTTTTACAACCCTTTGACGAGAATGTGTCGGGCCTACAATGACCTTATGGTTGATTCTGGCGATGATTTAGGGATGGATATATTTGATGATAATGTTAAAAGACTTTGCAATCGAAACCACAACCACCACGGTTTCTCTCTTTCATAGTTATAGTAATTCTATTTTATTTAAGGTTACAGTTTTATTTATGCCTAATAATTTTATATTAATTTACAAACAATTTATATTTCCAACTAAATTGTTTACTCATGATTGGTCATGCTGTATGTACATGTTTAGGTTTGCATTCTAGAATAGAACTAGTAGTAATGTTTTAGCTTTTGTTAAGGAGGGAATGTAAACTGTTTTGTAGATCTAATTTAAAAAAATATATAATATAAGAAATTAAAATCCTTTTATATACATTTTCACGACTTTTAAAATATAGGAATACCTTAAAATAAATCAATAAAAACCAGACTTAAACTAATAAGAGATTTCCATATTACATTCTTGGTTTGTAAACAATAGGACGGTAACTTTAATTCGATAACTGTGTTCTTAATAACGTTTGTAGCCTTTGCTGGTCGAGAAGTTCGAGTAATCCTACGGGTGCGACGTCATTTCGGTTCGGTCTCGAATGCGACAGTTTGACGTTCGATTTGGGTGTTGAAGAAAAAAGAAATCGGTCGACAACTGAGTTATCGTAAGGTTCCTGAATTGACCCCCTGATTGGATTACGTATTATTGACTTATACTAAGTATATTAAGTATATGTTTATGTTCACGCGGAAACACTTAGCATTTGGGCGAGCGGAGGTGATGGGTGGGTGCCCCGGTCGTGCGGGCAACTCCGATCAGTATTATGAGCACCTACCTGCCGAACTAAAAAACGAATGTTGTGAGGAAACGTTCAGGTGCAGACTGAAGAACCTTTAATTCGAAAAGTCCCTTTAGTCAGTAACAGAGTACACTCAAAGTACTTAATAAATAATTAAATTATTTTCAAAGTCAAAGTCAAAGATTATTTATTCCATAGGTAAAATAAATTTACACTTGAAAACGTCACATTTAAGCTACTGCTCGTTCACTACGCCGAGTTCCCTGAGAAGAACGAGCAAGAAACTCTAGGCATTGCTCTTTTCAAATAAACTTAAATGCTATGGAATACACTTTGAATCAAATTTGTGTGGATTCTGGAGCTATGTCGTCTTTCCATACATCTTTATCTAACACGCAGTCTTCAATTTTGTAATATGATTTTTCGATATATATTATATTTATTAATAAATTTGACATTCATCGTATTATTATACTGTAATATACATTTATTAGTTATTAAGTACCCATATCATTGACGTACCAACAAATGGACGTCGGGTCTAATACAAAAACCACGAAAAAAATGTCCGAAGTTAACCTATACAAACGTAGTGATACGTAACGAAATATATAAATAAACGTAAACTCAAATTATCCGTAATTCAGAAAACCGATTTATAATAAAACCATTACGTTTTCGATTAATTTTGATGCTTTTCACTAGCTTTTGTTTTGTAATCTTTCTAAAAAAATACATTTCACATTATGAAAATTCAGGCTAACGTTTTTTCGGGCAAATGTAGTTTCTGACTTCTGATAGGTAATCCCAAAGCGAAAAACGAGTACAATAATATTTTGTTAGTTATTGCTAACATTTAATAAAAAAATCATTTTAAAAATAAGATTAAAATCAAAGCGACTCTATAGTTTCTTTGTTCTAAATATTTCAATCGCTTGTGGTTCACAATTGAAAATGACCAAGAAGTTTATATAAGCTTCTTGAAATTGACGTAAAGGGTCTCTTTCCATCTTTTGCGCATGCAATGTGTAGAAAAAGGGCAGTTAGTTATTTGATTATTTTGTGTGCTTTTGTAATTTATACTCACGATTCATTTATATATAAATTACATACTATAAAACTGTACAAAATAACACTTTTAAATTACAACTACGATAACACAATATATTTGTTTAGTGACAATATGATACAAAATCCTGTTTTTACAGTTTACTGCAGTAATTTTTACAAGTTATTATTATACAGTACTGTATGATTGACAACCGCGCTGTCAGTTGAACAAACGAAGACTGTTGCGCGATTGACGCACTGTATGCGATTTTAACGCCCAATAGGTGCGGACACTTCTTAGCGCGAACCCGACGTCCATTTATTGGTAGGTCAATGACCCATGTTGACATTTTCTGTATACACTTGACATTGTTAGTTCAACTCAATTATATATTAGTTTAATTAATTATGTTGATTTTATATATGTACACTACTGTGTACTTATGACTCTCTATTATATAATTATTTCTTCATTCTTTTGTAAACTGACGCTCACTTTTCGAAGAGTAGTATAAAATTACGTGTAATCGTATTTCTATGAAATTTGTTAAATATATTACCCTAAGATATCACAGTACAAAACTTATACTCTGTTGCATTTGAAGGAACTCAATAAAGAGCGGCAGAGACGGATCTCATAATAAAGATATTCAATGCGCATAAAGACCGACAATAAATCTATACACTCCGATGTTTGTATCCATTACATAATCACATACGTGATTGACGGAAGTTCATGTAACAACACCATTGATCTTTCAAGGTTAAATCTGATAGCAATTGACAATAATTTCTTATTGATATAGCAGGAAATAACTAAGTTATATTCCATAGCTCAGGTTCTGCTAATGAATATGTAAATGCTACAAGGAAATAGAGCTTTTAATGTTAACAATAGTTTCCCGACAAATAGACTAATTGCAATAACAAAAAAAAGAATACGACATTGATTGTTATTTGAAAGAATGAGTCTCCCAATCACCCTTAATCTCCCATTCATTGGGCGGAATTATAAAACCGTTCTGCTTTCGAAATTATGTCATGTTATTATTAGGTAATATAACATCCTGGACGAATGTGCTTGTAATTCTATGTATATAATTTTTATGTTATCTTTATGGCTGTTTATTACTGAATAGAATAATATTGCAGGCTATGTTCAAAGTGGAAATAGCTACAGACCGGAAGTCCCCAAACTTTCTTGTTTCATAGACCTCTTTCTATTCTAAATATTGATTTTTACAAATCCGTAGACTTCAAATCTGTTTTTTACAGCTGACTTAGTACTCTTCACTTTGATAAGTTTAACAGTGAATAATCTCAGTACAGAGTACTAATGAAACCGACCTCAAAAGTCATTCAACCCCTTGTTTGCCACCCTTAGAGGTGGAACATTTTCTTCAAAATTAAATGGAACTACTTCTGAGGTACCCTCTCTCCAACAAAAAAAGAATCATCAAAATCAGTACACAAATGCCAGAGTTGACGCGTAACATACATACAAAAAGAACCTCCTTTTTTAAAGTCGGTTAAAAAGTAAAAAAACATGAAGTTTTATACATTTATCTAATTGAATCTAGACATATCTTCACCATCTTTCTACAAAAAAATTGTTTTAAAAATTTTACTTCATGGGTAATTTTTATATCTCTTAAAAGTATTATGTAAGTACAGATGGCTGCTCATCAAGCTACATTTTTAAGAATCTTGTCCCAATGCACTGGAGGCGATATTCAACCAGCGTATAGCTTGCTGTGCTGTTGACTGTGCGTAGGTACAGGGTCAAGAGCATGTCAAGCTTGACACTTAAGATTTAAATCCAACTCTATGCTGCTTATGATAAGAATGGTACAAAGTGTCAAGCTTAACATGCTCTTGACTGTACTATCAGTTATTATTTCAGATTGGATTATTCCATATGGAAAGACAATAAGTTTGGTCAAGACTTTCTTAAGTAAGTTCCAGTTTTGTGAATCATGGTTATCTTTTTCATTGACATGGTCGTCATGCAGGTAAGAGTTGACCTTGACCTTTGGAAGATCATTGAATAGACATTAAAACCAGATTTATCTATTAAAACATTTTAAAGTATAGTAATGATCACCTTGTCTCATTCATTATGTGATAAATATCTTGAACTATTTTATACCATGTGATTAAAATTACTTAATATATTTGTGACATTGCATAAGTCCTCTAAATCTTGTTTAAACCATATAGGTAATTAATTATTCATATAAGAAAGTTAGTCAGATACTTACGTGAAAATGCCGTGGTGATGTCAAAAAAGTCTGTACTAAAATATGTGATCTCTGGCAAGTTGGGCTCAATGTGCTCCTTGAAATACTCCATGGCCATAGTGGTCAGATCAAAAAGTTCATCTGTCACTTTGTAAGGCCGTGCTAGTTTTGTTGTTGTTTTTAAATATGATAAGATGCTGTACACCTCATCCAGAATCTACAAAGAGAATTGATTGTCAGAATTAGTAACAGTATTTTAACCACACTGTTTTTAACTATGACAATTGCATAGATTTATTAAGCAAATCAGAGGAAGTTGGGAAATAATTAACTTGGTTGTCCAATAACAAACAAAAATTTGACTTTTAGTGGTTATCTGAAAATAAGAGACCTTATGTTTGATGTCAAAAAGGTTTTGTCATAACATCAAGTGATAAATTAATCAAATAAATCAGTTGTTAAATATATTTTGACGTAACTTGAAGAGGTGTAATGATGTAGAATATGGATATATCTGTAATATTCAGAGAGTCACAATAAATTACCTCTCCAGGGAAAAAACAGCAATGTTTCCTCTCAATGTGTTTGCCAAACGTCATTTGCAGGAGACTAAGTCTCATGTGCAACGTCTCTATTATGTCAGATTCACAAGCCAGAGGGTGACTTCGACGTGCAGACTCTCTGCGAGGCATTTTAGCCTTTATCGACTGAAATCTATGCAGCATTTGATTTTGCAACTTTTGAAATGTAAAATTTAATATACTGCTACATATTGTGTTGAATTGGCGGTTGACCTGCAAAACAATTACGTGTAAACATGACTAATCTAATGGACACACTGGTTTCATTACAGAGGCATGCATTAAGAGTCCATATAGCATACATCAGCATAAAGCAACCTATTGTAGGCATTTATTAGCGATGATGTGTCCATACAATGTTGATGCTTTAACAAATTTTTTTTGTGCCTTATATGGTATTAGGTGAATCTTTTGATGCTGATGTATTTAAACTAATAAGCAGGTCAACTTTCATAGTTTTTCTTCCATTTAAATAACTTATTGTTATATAAATGTACAATACTGTTAGAAGTGTCTGAAATATACACTGATAAGCCTACATATATTTAGGTTTTCTTTTCTCTATAGAGCAACATGAGTTTACTAATTTTTACATGTAATGTATACATTATTCAATCTGTCAACACACATTAAATAAATTGTTCAGACTCATATAACATTTGTCAATATTTACAAAAAAAAAGTACTTATTAAAAAAATAACCATTCTCAATTGTGAGACACTTTTGTATCCCAAGTAGCTAAAGATCTTTTCTAGGACTTCAATAGGCAGATCAAGAAGGCCTGTGGAGTAGGTCTTCGGCGCAGGCACCAGAGTGCTGCACTTGGTACCGCCGTGCGGGGAGGAGCCGCCGGGCAAATGCGCACTGGAGTGGCGGGTGACGCGCGGTACGGCCGCGGGCTCCGCGTGCGATGGACCCGCACCCGCGCTCGAGCCCTCGCCGCCGCCGCCCCCCACGCTACTCATCTGCCTCGTCGACACCATCTTACCCAGTTCACTCTTTATTATTACTCTGAAAACTTCAAACTTTCATCTTTACAATCACTCCCCAAAATTAACAAAACTTTTACATTACAATTACCAGGATTCTATTACTAGCATAAAGAGAAGACATTCGACTACAAAAACGGATTACGGAAAGTGTATTAACTGAATTTTTAAATTAGAATAAAAATAAATTACTTCGCGAGTCACTACACAGTAAATTCTAAAATGGTGGCCATGGCTAGGCCTAATCACTTGAGCATTCTTATATGATACGGCGGTAATTTCTGACTGACAATTTGAAATAATAAACTACATATAACACTCACTCAAGAATTCATGCACATGTTTTGTTGGTTATAATTGAATTTTAATCTAAATCAAATTTTATTGAGACGCAATAGTTTCAAACGCGCTACGCTTTCACAAAAAATATCAATTTTTTTATGAAGTCAAGCAAGAGGAAGATGAAAAATGTTCAGCCACGAAACCATAGACAAGATTGTAAATCTTTTTTATTTTGTCTCTGTATATCAATCCACTTATAGTGGCATCCATAGTCGCATGATTGATATATTCACAGAATTCATTCACAGAATTTCACCAATAATTTATTTTGTGATCATCAATTTAATTTATATAACAGCTGCACGCCTGGATCAACCTTTTATAATCGTTATTTATATAATTTATAGTTATTGTTATTTATATAACCTATGAATTAGACCAAACTTGTACCCACGTTCGTTGGAAAATATTTAAAGTTATACCTGCTATACACAAGAGTAGCTTGAAGAGTAATATAAGAAACTACCGGTCTATTGTTATTCTCTCAGTATTTGCAAAAATAATCGAAATAGTTTGCCTGTATTCGGCTATAGTATCACAGCTGCGTGGATGGTTTTGTGACGAACAACACGGTTTTTGCCGCAGCACTCAATTTTCTTCAAATCTTCTGAATAAATCCAGGTAGACGTTGCTCATTTCAACTTCCGAAAAACTTTGGATCGGGCCAATAATGACCAATGACTACCTAGTTAATAAAATTCTTCTGTACGTGTTTTTAAGACAGAAGGCAGTACGTCGAGTACGAAAACTTTAAATCTTTCCCTTATACAATTGCTTCTGGTATAGGTCAAGGTAGCAGTTCCGGCCTTCTCCTTGTCTTAGTGCTTGTTAAAAAGACTTTTCTACGTCTGTAAACTCGTCTATCTGCCCTGTATTTGCTAATGATGTCAAACTTGCTTTATCAAGGAAATGCAGCGCGGATTTTGATCTACTCCAGATTGATACTAAAACAATTTTCGCTTGGAGCAATAAATTTTAACGATACTACTTAAACGTAATGAATAGTAAATAAAGGTGAATCAGAATCTGTTGATGAAGGAAAATAAACGATTTCAGATTACGCGTAAAAAATACACATTAATTATCTTATTTATTATACACTGGAAAATGCAGTGAGCATTAATATAATTGGGAAAATAAGTAAATAGAGATTTACCTACACATTCTGTAATAGTACAAGTTAAAAAAAAAGTAGGTATTCTATCCTAGTTGGGGATCATAATAGAAAATAATGTGAGAAATTTCCAGCATAAAATATATATTTTTTGCTAATGACATTCTGGTAGACATGTAACATTTTGTGTGTATGTACGTACATACGTACATGTACTCTTTTATTTAAAACGCGATTCAAGAAATTTTAATCATTTGGAAAATCATCAATCAACTAACATCAAAGTCACCTCTCTATTTCTAAAATGTTAAAACCGTTGTAAATCGCGAGATGGAACCAGTGATCAGGGTTGCCAGAAGTAAAAGATTTTTTTGTACGTGTACAAAAATTTAATTTTCTGTACAGGATGAAAAGCACCAGAAGAAGATTGACACTTAGAACTTGAATTCAACTCGACTAAGAACGAGTCCAAAAATTGGATCCAACTTATGTTATAGTGTACACGGCATGCAACCCAGTTTTAACTGGAAATTGTATACAAGAGTACCGTAAAAAAATTTCTAGATTGAGATATTCATCATAATAACTTTTGTAGAACATAACCTGATGAAGGGCTCGATTTCAAAGGTAACACTCCGCAGATGAGCTTGCAGATGCTGGACCTATTACTACTAGCTAAGATTTTTCTCCGGGAAGAATGCATTAATGCTCGGGAGGTATCAATGCATTCGTCCCGGAGGTTGGATATCTGGGTACAAGTCGATGGTCTCGAACAGAACTAACAAAAAATTATACAGCCTCTAAATGCACATGAAACACCGAGGTTTGGAAAAGCATAATTCCAACCTAAAGCTAACTGAGAGTAAAGTTTATACATTCTGCCTTGAAGTAGATGAGATGCTTTTCCACTGTTTGCATATGTACTACAACTGCAGAGTTACAATTCTATTCACCATGTCTAATTAGCTAAACTATCTTCTAATAAAGTACTATGTTCCATCTTATGTTTACCATGTTTTAAGCAACCAAAATAATTTCATTTAATTCCAAACCAAAGCCAATGTTATTTATTAATGACTCATGAGAGTCACTCCTTGGCAAACATATCATGCCCCAGTCAGAGGATGGCAAGAGGTAGTAAAAAGTAAAAACAATCGAAAGAAGTAAAATCTCACCGATTTATACCGATTAGTAATTAGTTTGATCACAATGTATTGTCAATTCTTGGTTGCATTGATACAGGTACAGACCCTGAATGAGCAACGTATTAATTACTCTTCTATTTTTTTCTTGACGAAAACCGGAAGCACTCAGATTTTTCTTGAAGAAAAAATACCGGGTTAAAAGCATCAAGAATAAACAAGTAATTTCACAAACATAATTAAATATCACGATGGTCAAATATCGTGACATTCAATTAACTTAAAAATTATTTATTAAAGCGACATTTCTTGTCAGCTATTGATAGCTGTAAAGGTACCTGGCTGAGTGAAGAAATAGATTTGTCGCAGTTGGCGCTACGGCAAAAAAGTCGTACATATGCAAATGGTGCAAGAATCCGCTTGTACCCATCTGACAACCCTACGGATAAATGTCACTGTCAATCGTTTTCGAAAACTATCGAAAACTTCTAAAAATTGCGTAATGGTAGCATAAACACATAGATTTCGTATATTCCTGGTTATCAAGTGCCTATATAAAATTAAGTGCTGTGATGAAAGAAAAGTTATAATAAAGAAGATATGTTTTATATCTAGTCATACAACTACGTACCTAACCTAACTTCGTTTTTGTGTTATGCTTTAATATCCCGGCAGTTTTTGACGAAAATGTACGCTCGCTGCGGCAGTAGTGGATCTATTCAAAACATACATCAAACACCGTCATCGTCAAATCATAACTCAGGTCGGTAAAAAGCACGTAGATGTGTCAAAGTTCAATTTGTACTTGTTAAAGGTGATATCTATTTATTTCGCAGATAAGAACTCTCAAAGATAAACATGGTACCAGTACCAGTGTATATTATAGTGTATTGATTATTATTGTTGTCGTGAATATTAATTTTCATATTCGATATTGATAATTTCATATCATGAATGTATACTTTGGTAAAACAAAATTAAGAACAACATAATATAAACAACCCTCTCCTCGCTACACGCATACACCCACAGATACATCCATGCACACATACAGTCAGGACAATATAAATGGTAGAAGTTTATGGCATAGCTAAAGTTTCACTGGTTATTGAAGATTCAAATTCTAGAGCATTGTCTAGTGCATTGTGACATATTATCGAGCTGAACACAATGACACTTAAAAAGCTTGACAAGGAGCCCTCCCCTCATGACCTTCAAACCTTCCCTGCACAACACTTCCCCTTACATCTATTATCTAAGAATGGTAAACAACATACAATAGCATGCCTATTAGGCAAGCTCCGAGCAGTATAATTTAGCAGGGTGCACACTAAACTGTTATACAATTTCATAGAGAACTGAAAATACAATGAATCTTGTCAGAAGTCTAGCTCTTATTATAGTACAAACCCATTAAACTTGTGTATCAGTAAATTTGTGTTATTAAATATTTTACTTTTATGTCTGTCTCCTGAATGGTTGGTACTTCAAGATTCATGGATATCCTGAGTCTTTACAAACCAAGAAGATTGTGCTACGGTCTTTTTACATAGTGGAAATATTGCAGTATCATCACATTTTTTATCTCCTCCCAGCTTTAGAAAGAAAGAATGAAAACTGTATATTGTACAAACACAGACACGCATATAAACAAAACAAAAACAGGACAAAAAATATAAAATTAAAATGAATATTAAAACAACTTACACAATTAAGTAGTCATTTACCATCATGTGTGTCGCGTCTGGTACAAACGGGTACAGTATTTAATCTGTAAAAATTTATTGCCTTTAATTGTCTAAGACAGGGTTTCTTAACCTGTGGTCCATGGAATAAGAGGTCTATGCACGTCACCTGTTTGAATTTTTGCGGCCTTTGATGGCAATCCATTGTAGGAGTGAGCGAGATGCACGTCTTTGCAACCCGTGAGCCTTTCTTTGTCTATTTATTTATTATTAATAGGTGAGCAGCTCGAAGCTGATATGCCTATACCAAAGCTGTGTTAAATTTTTATAAAGTCCATGAATTCACAAATAATCCTGAATCTATTTGTTAAAGTCCACAAAACACTAGAAGAACTTAAAGACGTAGAAGACACAAATTCTTCTTTTTTAACCACCTATCCAGCCAGTTTTTGAAAGTGTTCACTGAGCTAGCATTAACCATGTTCTCAGGCAACAAGTTCCACATTGTAACCACTGTGTTGCCGAGGATGTGGTGGGCAGTGTTGGTGACTGATGGCCTTTGGACGATTTTCATTTTGGGACCCCTAATATTCCTAGAGTGTACTGTTTTGAAGCAGTTGTGAAGATCTGGAAGATTGTAGAACCCATGAAGAATTTAAAAAGTTTCAATTAGATCACTCCGTACCCTTCTTTCTTCAAGAGTAGTGAGGCCCATGAATTTTAATCTGTCCTCATATGATTTGCGACGAGCTCGAGGTATTTTGGTTTATTATTAATTATAAAAAGATTGTACTAATCTAAACCTGGTGGCACAACAAAAACTTGCATAGGTTTATCCATGCATCCCAAGAAGTTCTTCTTCATCTTTTTGAGACGGGTCCATGGGCTCTTTAAAATTTCGAGAAGTGTCCATGATTAGAAAAAGGTTAAGAAACCCCGGTCTAGGACATTTGTTTTTAGTTCTGCTGTATTTACTTGTGTTGTGTTGCTCATTTTCAGAGGATGAGGACGATAGTGGAGACAACAAGGCAGCAATTAGCTTTAAGGAAAGAAGAAGGGAGGCTCACACACAGGTAATAATTTAGATCTACAGTTTATGAAGTCAGTTCCATCCTGACTAAAGCTCAATTTAGTAGGCAGTAGGCAATCAGGAGTGCATGTGAACCAGACCATATGTAGTCAATATGAAAAAATACTAGGCTTGTGATACACCTTAGTTCTATCAGATTTCAATTAGGAATTAATAGGGTTAAAAGTAAGCAGTGGCTTTGTTAAGTATTTTCAAGTAATTCTTATGTTTGACAATTAAGAGATTTTACTGAAGAGGTGGGCAAAAGAGTTTAGAATAGAGTATAAGTTATCCTTGGAAATGAAACTGTTTTTCCGGGTCTAAATTATGAATATATTTTTGTTTTCCTTTTTTTTTTTCAAACAAACAAACCTTTTCAGGTTTATACCCTTATAGGCCCATAGTTTTTTGTTTGATAAACAAAACCGACCTCAGAAATCATTAATCCCCTAGTTTGCCAACCTTGGAGGTGGAATATTGTCTTCAAATTTAAATGGGGCCACTACTCTTTCTAATAAAAAAGAGTCATCAAATTCACAAAGTTATCATGTAACATACATGTTTGCAAATGGAATAAAAACAGTATTTAACTGTGAAGATCTCTTTACATCCTTGTTCGTCCAGGGAAGTACTGCCACATTAACTATTTCTGCCGCCAAGCAGTAATGTGAGCATTACTGCAGGTTTTGGTTGAAATCACAGACACATGGGACTTATCAACATATGTCTCAGGGCGACGGACGCAGTGGCAGTACTTCTCAGATCTTTGTGATTTATTTAAAGCTCTGAGTGGCTGTCACTGTTATGGACAGGCGTGTTGTTTGCCACCAGACACACAACTTGTTCGTCCCATTACTTGATATCATGGAAAAAATCTTTACATTAAATATCTTATTTTACAAAAATATTACTTTACAGTAAAATGAGTGAGTTATCTTATTTTCCAGGCGGAACAAAAGAGAAGAGATGCTATAAAGAAAGGCTATGATTCTCTTCAGGATTTAGTACCTACCTGCCAGCAGACTGATTCTTCAGGTTACAAGCCTAGCAAAGCAGCTGTGAGTTACCATGACTATTTCATATGTGCCATCATCACCTATCTCCCACTTGGGTAGGCAGGCACTAAGCAGCTCCACCTAGTACCATCCTGATATACCTTTTTTGCTTCTTATACTCATGTTAGTCTCTACTTACAAACCTATTTATGCTTGATAATTTTGTCATTGCCTAAGATTCTGACCCTGATGTATTCTTTTTTATTTTAATTTTTTTATCTTGTTTAGGCTACAGGCCTTATTAAAACAGGCTATTGGCAGTTGGGTGTCAATGTCGGCCTTGTGATGTCAATCCCTGTGGATTATTCTACTCTATCATGTCGCCTCGTAGTGAGAGGCAAGACCTGACATATGTGGACAGAGTTTTAGCCCTCTTCGCCAAAGTGTCACCCAACACAACATTTAACTCCCCAATTTGCCAAATATCCTCTAATTGAAATTGGCTTCTTAGAGCCACATAATGGCCAGATTCCATTAAATGTAGCATTTTATCTTCAAGTTTGTTACAGAATTTACATAGTGGAGATTCCGTTCTTTTTATTTAGATTGTAGAACTTATTTAAAGGAAGGTGGCCAGTACGTAGTCTAAATGCCAAGACCAATGCATTTCTAGAAAGTGCGCCGTCCACAAACCAGGGCTTTCGCGGTGGACGCACTTAAACAGTTTTGTATCAAATTGCTTTCACTGCAGAAATCTCACCATAGATCTTACTCCACATATTCATATTTAGATGATTTCTGCAGCAAGAGGTTTACATGACGGTTCCATGGATTCCGTGGTAGCCTCTCTTGCTAATTTATCTACTATTTCATTCTTCTAGTCCGATGTGTGATGGAATCCATTGCAGCATTGTACACATGTTCTTGGACAGTAAAACCCTGGTGTATGCACTTAAATAACTCAACTGATGCTAGAAAGAAAACATAAGTGCACCATTGCCCTTGAACAATACATCTTCGCCACCCAAAAGTTACACTTGGACCGGCTGATGTCATACATGTCGGCTGGTTTGTTGCGAAATCCGTGAGCTCTGTTACATTATGTACCCGACGACATTTCCAGTGAGACATGGTCTTAAAATCGCGTTCTTTTTACTTATTGATTTACCCACAGGTCCTTCAAAAATCAACAGAATACATCCAATACTTGCAACAACAGCGGCGGCGACAAGAGAACGAACGCAACGCTCTACGAAAAGACGTCGTGGCTCTCAGAATCATGCAGGCCAACTACGAACAGATCGTGAAGGCACAGCATTCCGTGCCTGGCCATAATGAACAGAGACTTACAGACCAGGATAAGTTCCAAGTGGTAAGTTCAAGTATAAACTGGTTTCCATAGTGTGTTAATAGGTGTCAGCTGACTATGTTTCGCTTATGGATCACGAATCTACTGGCATTATCTACCTAGATTATCAATTTGATTTGTATTAAGGCGTGGTTGACCCTGACTTTCCTACAGAGAGCAATGGAGTAATAGAGACGTATCTCATTATATAATTGGTAGATTTAGTTTTAAGTTATAGCTTTTGATCCATGAGTGTGTTTTAAAACTTTATATCGCGCCCTCAAAGAATTTTCAGAAAATTTATAGTACAGTTTAAAAACATAGTTGGCACCAGCCATTGATGCCATTTGGTGCGATGTGTAAACATTTGTTTTATGAGATAGTTTCCGCCTAAAAAAACTGCTCGTGTTGCTAAGGTACCTTGAAATTCCGTCCTACTTTTGATTAAAGCCTCTAGAAATAAAATTTAAACATACATTTTTATCGCATCACATTTGCATTGTTACATAAAATGAAACGCTATCGATGAGGAGTTAAGTTCTGTATTAATAAATCCATCTCAAGTACAGGGTGAATGTTAAGATTATTATGTAATTCAAATTACTAATAACTTGAGTGCATAATAAATTTTGCACTCACTTACTGCTCACGCATCCATTTGAAACAATATTAATAAGGGGGAATTTGGAATATTCTCTATATAACAGTCCAAATTTTCGCTTATTATTATAGTTTTAGGTCCTAATTACGGAGGTCACGGCTACTTGAGTTGGTATCCAAGATGCTGATGGTCTGTCTATTAAGACAAAAATTTTCAGTTGGGAATTTTAACGAGATTTGAGTAACAGTAATTTGAATTATCCTTATCATCACCAATAAATATTGTAAATGTTAAATGTGTGCATTTACAAACATGTTAATATACAAAAAAGCAACCCCAAGAGTTTCTTACTTTTAGGGAGTTTGCCTTTCGAATGAGTATAGTCTGTCTTTTTTGAAGACGGAGTAAAATGACATTTGTAGGGTTGCCAATTCTCATAAAATTTGTGGTAGTCATTTTGTTGACACTTATCGATACATTGTGAAAGAAGGTATAATTTTGCTTAAAATGTCTGAATTGTTAATGTTATGACGTTCTAATAATTACTAATTGCGTGGTTGCCTTCTTTATTCTTATTTTGACAGTTGGCCTACTAGTATCGATATAGAATATTTATCAACTGCGATCACGCAACACTTTTGCACAATGAACTGTCATTTTACTCCGACTTCAGAAAAGACAGACTATAGTTTGAATTATTCTTATGCATGCATGTAACGTAATATGTTTTTTAGTTCCAGGCAATAATGGATAAACTATTCGAATCCTTCGAGGGAGTACAAACCAACAACTTTGCTGATTTCTCGGCTGGTGTTTTCAATTGGCTGGAGGAGTACTGCAAGCCGCAGTCGCTGCGAACCATGGTGCATAGTGTGTTAAGAGAACAGAGCTACACGCCTTAATTATATAGTATGTACTTCTTAATGATGCACTTGCCCTGGTAGGTATCCATTCTCTTCCTGCTATTTAGGTCGGTTTAGTAAGCAGGAAGAACTTGTCATTACGTTTTTCGATTCCTTCATACTTAAACAACCTCACAATTCTCACATAATTAGATTAAACTTATTAATCAATCTGCGTCAAGTGCACGATCGCCATTAACGTCACAAAATAAGAGGCGCCTTTTGACACTTGTCATCGCAACGTAAATAGAGATGTGAACTAAACATATCGGTAACAATATGCAACTTTTTTTTAATACCTAGTCACGGGACGAACAAATCGTGCAGCTGGTGGTGAGCGACACGCCTATCTATAACAGTTGCAGTGCCACTCAGAGTTTTTAATCGCAAAGATCTGAGGGGCTCTGCCACTGCGCCCGTCACCCTGAGACATAAGTTGACAAGTCCCATATGCCTGTAATTTCACTACCACCCTTACCCTTCAAAACCGAAACCCTGTAATACTCGCAGGAACTACTTCCCTGGACGAACTCATTCACAAGGAGCTCTACTGCTACTTATTAGGAAGTAACTCTTACAGTTGACCCTTTAGATCCACTTTATAAAAATATTATATTAGGTATTCAATTTGTATTGAATTGATATTAAATTTTTTTGAAATTGCTCCATTAGTTTGTTATAATTATTAATACAAAGATTGAACACTTACAAAAAATTCCCTTTATCCGGCCGGATTCGAACCGACGTCCTCTAGCAAACCTAGCCAGACGCTATGACAACTAAGCCACGGAACGAAGCAGCGGACGTCTCGAATTTTTCTGTATGTGCTTGTTGTCGGATCTTTTGTATTTGGTTTTCGACTTTTTGGCGCCATCTATGAGAAATCTATAAAAGTATTTCGTTGATACAGGTATTTTTTCAAATTTGATTATGAAAATAAAATCTTTTCCTATGAAGCAAAATATCCTATCTACAATATTTGAAGTGTTTTCCCTCTGTGTCCCATACCCGTGGCACAACCTATACCTATAATACATATCATATGTACACCTGTTGCCCAAATAGTTCAGTGAATCCTTGTAAAAAAAGAGTTGACTCCCTGACGCTATCTTATCACGACATAATATATACCGTTAACGGTTTTTTGTGAATTTTTTACGCAGAACACATGTATGTGTATCGCGGCTGGCTACCAGAGCAGGTGTGTTTACATTATAGGGTGTAAAACACTCTACATTTACATCGAAGTTAATTTTTAGTTATATTTTAGGGTTGATCTACATTCGATTTGCTGTGTAATTTTCAGGTTAGTTTTCTGTACCTAATTTTGGTGACAATTTTTATTATTTAAGTGTTCCGGTATGTTATCGTGAAATATTAAATAATATTTCAAGATACTAACTACACTTGAATATTAAACAATACCTTATGATAGTTTTCTAGAAAATCCAAAAAATTAAAATTGCCACCGGAATGAGAAAACTAACCTAATAATTACCCTACTACAAAACGCGATAATCGTCAAGTTCTCCTGTTTTCGTGGTTGCTAATGGAAATGATCTAATTAGCGTATATTTATGATGGTCATATCAGTCAACCGTGGCCATGGGATATGTAAAAGTCTCGAAAAGTTGGTTTGTTTAATAAAACAAATATACGCTATTGAGATCCGAAGAAAATAGTTTAATTTCCAACATAATAATTGTTTTAATTGAATTATAGACATCGTACTGTTAATAAAATAGTGTATTAACTCAAAAACTGCATTTTTTTCAGAATCGATGAAAAACAAATTACTCACGTTTCGTGAAAGATTATTAAAATTTATGTATAAGTTTGAGTTTATTACAAATATTGAAACACTTTTCTTTTTTCCAAAATTATATTTAAAAATAATTATATATTTTTGAGTAAGGACTTTTTTGGTCCAGAACTAACTCAAAAAAAATTGTCTCATTTTGAGTTATATGTAACTATCTACTATCTATTGATAGTCTTTTAATTGTTTCTTACAATATTCTAACGACGGTCTTATTGACGTGTAGAGAGAGTATTTTGAGTTACAACACTATTGTAATAGTTGTGGGATATATTGACATTACTTCAAATGTCGTCACTTTATTGACTATCTATCGTAAGTTGCAAATGGTTCACAGTAATGTATTTTCAGTTGAGCACCTTTTTTTTTTTTTTTTTAGCACCTGACATTTTGAAGTACTGCCCTGTTGTCATACTAGCGCATTTCGGTAACTTGTCAACTTATATCTCAGGGAGACGGCGCAGTGGCTGGGGTCTCTCGGATCTTTGCCACTTAAAGCTCTGACCGCCACTGCAACTGTCACTGGGACCATCACCCTGACACGTCACATGTGCCTATAATTTCACCAGCACTCTTAGTAATGCTCACATTACTGCTTGTGCGGCAGAAATAAAATATATTAGGAAGTTCCGGGTTATATTCCCCGTTAGATCAATTTGAGAAACGATCTTTTCTAAATTTCTTCTGGTCTGATTGTTCGTTACTCTGGTGATTGGTGTGGTTAGCTGGCACTTATTGTTATGATCGATTTGACGGGTGGAGAAAAACAGGCATGACAGAGCGATTCAAAATCAAGGTTTTACTTTGTGTAAAGCGTTAGCTACCAAATTGTCGAGTCAGTGTTTAAAGATTGGGATTATTATAAATAAGTTAAAATTTTTAAAACCAGTTTAATTTTACGAGGGCTGCTACTTATGTATCCGGAAAATAAAAAATAAGCAAACATGTATGACTAAATATAGTTTTATTGTTTTTCAAAGTATTCTCCACGATGATCGATGCACTTTTGCATCCGTGTAAACCAATTTTTAAAGCACTTTTGCCACTCTGACTGAGGTATCTCCAAAACGTGTTGTTTGAAGGCGTCGACTGCATCTTCACGGGTCGAAAATCGTTGACAACGTAATTTATTCTTTACATTTGGGAATAAATAAAAATCATTCGGTGCCAAATCAGGGCTGTACGGTGGATGACCAGTTAATTCCACATTTTGACCTTCCAAAAACTGAGTTGTTACGCGTGACGTATGACAGCTGGCATTGTCATGGTGAAGAATGATTCTGCGTCGCCGGTTGTTTTTTCGTATTTCTTCAAATACCTCAGGCAAACAAATGGTCGTGTACCACTCCGAATTAACCGTTCTACGATTTTCTAGTGGCACTGTAGCCACATGACCATTAATACCAAAAAAGCAGGCCACCATTTGCTTCATAGTGCTTTTTGCACGAGTTACTTTCGTAGGGTTCGGCTCATTTTGAAACACCCACACAGTTGATTGTTGTTTAGTTTCGGGATCATACGCATAAATCCAGGATTCGTCACCTGTGTAGATATTATAGACAGCCTTTGAGTCACCACGGTTATATTTTTCGAACATTTTCTTGCACCATTCGACGCGAGCATCTTTTTGATCCGTAGTTAACATGTGCGGTATCCAACGCGAACAAATTTTTTTTACAGCTAAATATTCATGCAGAATCTTATTAATGCTCGTCATACAAATGCCCAGACTCGCCTCTATCTCGCGATATGTAACATTACCGGTCATGCATTATAAGTTTTCGCACAGCTTCAATGTTTTGTGGTACAACGACCGATTTCGGGCGACCCTCCTTAACCTCGTCCTTGAGCATACTACGTCCACAATTAAATTCACTAAACCAGTGATACACAGTGCTTTTTGATGGAGCTTCATCACCAAAAGTTAAATTGAGTTGATCTATGCACTGTTGTTGCGTTAAACCACGCCGAAAATCGTAATAAATCATGGCACGAATATTTTCACGAGTAAGTTCCATTTTCGCAGCGAGATGACATTTTAAACCCGCCAAAAACAAAAGACTAGCGACACAAGAAAAAAAATAAAGCGGCCAGTATTTTTAAAAAACTTCAAATTTTGCTATGGAGGTTAGATATAGCGTTAAAAAAATTCGGTATTCTGGATTCCGGATACATAAGTAGCAGCCCTCGTAAATGTTTTATTATATTCTTGCTATTACTTTTGTGAGGGAATATAAAAAAATATGTACATATAATTAAATACGTTATGTAAAATTATGAATTAAAGGTACAGTCGTGTTATGGCATAGTACAGATATTTTTGATTCAACTTTTAACCTTAAGAATGAAATTTGTAAATAATCAATGTTGCGCCATGTTTTATGTAGCGTGAAATCCGTCGTACTAAAATTAGTGCCTTCTACATTAATAATTTGCCATATAAATATAACTTTCTTACACAATTTATTAAATATATTTTGTTGTTTACAAAAACATGGTTTTATTACCCTCATTGTCAACATCGTCACCCATTTTGCGAGTCACTACTGGGCACGGGTCTAAGAAGAGAGTTTGGGAGTCACATGCTTTCCCAGGGTTGTGAACCTTCGAAGTGCAGTTTTCATCACAATGTTTAGGCGCTGCGCAAACGTGTGTTTTGTGTTGGATACAAGCAATCGGCAACTAGAAGCGAATATTCATTTTCATACAACTTGTAACAGTAGAGCTCCTTGTGAAAGAGTTCGTCCAGGGAAGTACGGCAGTACTTAGTAAGTACTTAAGTAAGGTGGCAACCTTACCTATTTCTACCGCCAAGCAGTAATGTTAAGAAAGAAAGAAAATACATTTATTTGTTTACCACAATGACACTACAAAAGACAAAAAAAAAGAGAAAACGGAACTAAAACAAAACATTCAATGTAAAACATAAATAAATAATTACGAAACAAAAACTGAAACACAAAAGAAAAATGTATATACAAGAATTTAATAAAATTAAAACAGGAACACATGACAATCTCTGAAACATATTTTTCGTTCTCTTCGACAGCCTCTTGAAGCAATGAAAATCGTTGACCGCGTAAATGGTTCTTAATTTTTGAAAATAAATAAAAGTCACAAGCTGCCAGGTCGGGACTGTACGCGGGATGGCTCATAAGGTCAACGTTGTTCACCTTCAAAAATTCATTTGTCTGTCTGGCCGTGTGAGAACTGGCATTATCGTGGTGCAAGATGATGCGGCGCTTACGGTTATTTTTACAGAGTTTGTCAATAACTTCCGGCAAACAAATGGTCGTGTACCAATCACTATTCACGGTACAGCGATTCTCCAAAGCAACAGTAGCCACGTGTCCGGTTTTATTAAAAAAAGAAGCAATCATCCGCTTAGAGGCACTTTGCACGCGTGCCACTTTGGTTGGTTTCGCCTCATCTCGAAAGAACCATACGCTCGAATGTTGCTTTGTTTTGGGATCATAACTATAAATCCATGCTTCGTCACAAATTCGTTGAGTCTGGTAAGTATGGCATTGCACCAAGTGACGCGATCTGTTTTT